AACACAACACCAAAACTTGCAGACTGCTTTTCCCGCCCGTCGCCATGATTAATTTGAGTGATCAGAATGTATCGACCTGTTCCGATGCATTTGTTAACATCAATCGGTAGATTTCTGACAGTTTGTCATTTTTTGTTATGAAAATCGTTCGGCAAACAGAGATAACATCGAAATATTCACTTCGCATCCAACCGACACACATTTGTTGCGTGCTGAAGTATTTTTAACACAACACGAAATCTCATTAATAAAACACAAAAATCGGCAAAAACAAAACTGGTCAAATGCCTATTACACACTTATCCTGCAATAATAAATGGAACTTCCTTGAATAAACATGAAACTCGCTCTAGTACTTGTTTTTTATTCCTCAACACCGACAGCCCCATACGTCCCTGTTTTCATTACACAACTACATGTTTGTTTTTTTCTCTGAGATCTACAAAGCACGTGATCTGCCCATCAATCTATTTTATTTCGGTTACTGCTTGTTGTGGCGAATGTATAATTATTGTTTTTCTTTACGTATAGGTTTTATATTTCCGCACTCATTAATTTCCGCTCATTCTTTTTGTTTTTACATAGATCATTTCTACACCTTTATTTTCGCTCTCTATGCAAATTACGCCGCCCTTTCTTTACTATATCTCACGCCCGTTTTCGCAGTGTGTCTTGTTTTTCTTTTTTTCGCGTCATGTAAACCTTCCTTCCGTCGAATGTTTCGTGTCTCGTATACTCCCTCAGTATTTGGTAAGTTTTTTATTCGTAGTACTTCGTATTCATTTTTCCTGTCTCGTGTTAATGTTTTTGGAAAGGTCATTTTATCGTTCCTTGGGAATTTGCTTCTTTTTCTTCGTAAATAGAATGCTGAGTCGTGTTTGATTGAAGCGGGACCCTTGCCTCTTCACTGCTCCTTCATTTACAACTTTAACAGTTTTCTCTAATTCTTCACCGCATTGGAAAAATACAAACCATAATTTATTTCCTATGTTCTGTTTTTATATTTTAGAGTGAACCCCCTCAACTGTTCTCATCAATGAATCATAGTCATCGTTCCCAGTACTCTCCAACATCTCCTCGCCACTGCTTTGGTGTCGTTAGGTGTCACTGGCAATCTTGCCATTCCCTTCATTTCTTATCGTTCATCCCTTAGGTTTCCTCACCTAACAGTTTTAGCTGCACTCGACTTCACGGCCACACTGTTTGGCCCTGGACTCTCTCTGGTGACTCTTGTTACAGGGCCCGGCGTGGTGGGAACATAATAAGACACTCTGTCAGAGCCTGAACCTTCTGAGCTCTTGGATACAGATCACTTCTTTTCTGGTACTATTCTTTCTCTTGCTGTGCTTTGTCAAAAAATGCAACTTCAAATTTTCATTCAACTGGAAAACGTCAGGCTAAGAGAAGATAAGTTGTTTTCCTTGTCATGAGCTTTTTAACGGGATTTCTGCTCAGCCTTCAACCCATTGTTGGCTGGAGTTCTTACAAGCATGGTCTCCCCCACCCCCGTTGTTATATTCTGCTTAAAAATGACCAAACTCCCTCAAACTATTCTATCCTCTATCTCTCGTGTTCTTTCGCTCTTCATTCCATAACCATCTTTCTTGTTATCAAAGCGTCGAGGCATCGTCGGTTGTACCCAGTACTTCTCCTCTGAGAGCGACATGGATACGAGGTGAAGATAAACAACCCTGAAATGACAACAGTTGCCAGCTCAAGATCAAGTCAGTCACGTGGCACAAGCCGGTCGAACCGGCCATTCTGGTCAAGGCAGTCGCGCGGACGATCTGTTATTACGACTGTTAATACAACTCCTCTAGCTTCTAGGAAGTCTTAGCATCAATCTCGTTTGCATCAAGAGAACGTGCTTATTGAAGTTCTTCTCCGCCAGACAAATCTAAACGGAACAGGCTTGAACACTCCTAGAACTGGTGCGAATGGAGACGAAGAAAAAGAAGTAACTGTATCCACACGCCCTGTCAAAGGTTTGGCTAAGGAGGGCGAATGGGAAATACCACGTCCCTCAAAATCCAAGGGATCCGTTCACTATCTCGTCAAGAATCCCTCACAAACTCCCTAAGCAACGAGTTTTCGAAAACCCGCGGGTTACTCTCCCCCTCTTCACATCTCTGATAATACTAAGTGATACTTTTCTTATGTTTTGAAGAGCCTGTGATTAACATGGACTGGCTGGAACAAGAAATAGTTATGGAAGAGCAGCTGGAAAGAGGAAGAGAAGAACAAAGAACAAGGGAGGAGCAATCGAAAAGAGAGAAACAAAGAAGGGGAGAAGATCATTTTTCCGACACATACCTACACTTAAGTTATCCCTTTTAAAATTTTAAACCTATATAATATCTATGTCACTCAGTAATTTCTCTTTTTTTCGAATATGTGAAACCATGATCTCTTGGAAAACTACTCTATCAGGGATATAAATTTAATGTATGTTGTTTCTTTTTTCATTTTTAAGTGAGCTTAATGATCTTGTTTATATCAGGACAGCCATATTAGTACGTCAATGTGATCGGAAGACATTAAATATTTGGAAGAGAAATTTAAAACTTGTCCTTTGCTTACATAGACTTTTCTTTTGTGAAGCCCTACTAAGTGACTCTTGATGTCATGTTAAGTTCTCCTTCGGTTCCACAAGTAAACAGGCAGCACGTTGGAATGAGACGACAGTAGTTCATCTGCAATCAACCCTTCAATTATTCTGTTACAATGTTTTATCTGGCGGTGAATAGTACCCGTGNAAAACCTGGCAATTCTGACAATTAGTACAAGGGACTGGGACTGCCCGATCTGGGACTGCCTGTAGAAGATAACCAGGAGTTCGAGTCAGCTGGCTGTTAATAGACTAAAATAGCTGAAAAGTATACTACAAGCATGTAACAAGTAGATTGGCAGGTATGCCTGTGGAGTCCTATCTCGAGTCTCTGAGTGCTTGTTCTGAGCAGACCATTATGTTACTGTTATACCACATACTTATTGTCAGCTTTCAACATGGCGGACGGAGAAAGCACACTCACAGAACTGGGAGCATTGACGAGAAAACTAGATTGCTCACAAAATTCGTGGACTGAGGTTAAAACCACATTAGAAAAATTCAAGACATGGGCGGTGGTTGAAGAGAACCGGTATTTTCAAAATTTCCTCTGTTGCATAATTTGTTGCGCACTTGTCTAAGTCGGACTGTTTCCCGGAGCGAAAAAACAGATTGTTGTAACGACCTTTTAACTTCTGATACACTGATTCTTTCGGCTTGGGCTTGAAATTACCTACAATCAGAATAATCTTTTCTTTCGCTACCGTTTCAGACAATTTTTGTATTCGAATATATGATTTAAATGTTGAAAATATGTCGTTAATTAATTTCTTACTTTTTGATGCTTTAATTAAATATTGTAGATGTATGGTATCAGAGACGAATATTCTGCAGATAAAGGATATTATAACGGCCTGCAAGAATTGCATGTGTGCACAAAAAGGTGAAGTAGAAGAAAATAAACTGATCCCTTGCCTGAAAGCTTTAACAGAAGCGTTTAGATTCCTGAGAAACTGCTGTGCTGCGACACCCAAGAACCAGAACAGTGTTGTGTAAGTGCCTCGCTATTTTTTTTTAGTTTATTTCAAAGGAGTCCAATTCATTATTCATAAAAACATCTTAATGCGTGATAAATGATTTTACTTACAGATCGTTAGGAGTTGTTGAGGAGGTACTTGATTCAAATGTGCTTTTACTGAAACCAAAGTTCCAAGAAAATGAAGGAGGTAAACCAATTAAAATGTTGTTTGTATTTTTTTTGCAATGAAAATTTCTTACAGGTCCTACAAGCATATAACCTTGTGACATTTCCTTACAAATGGGCCTCATATATCTTATTAACCAAGCGCGAGGGCTGTACTGGGAGAATATCGGCCCAAGGTCTTGACAGTACGGACCGAGCACAGCTCGGTCTGTACAAAAAAGACCAAGGGCCGATATTCTTCCAGTACGGTCCCGAGCAAGCTTGGTTAATAAGAGATTTATTATGACTGAAGTTCAAAGGGACACAAGTGCAGTATCATTCAGGACCATTCGGGACAGTGCCCGGTCCAATACTGAGAGAATATTGACCGGCAATAGAGCATTTTAATTGGTTGATTTTAGTTGTTGGCCCTCTGACTGCCCGAGTCGTGTAATAAATACATGTATTGTATGTTGGGTTACCATTGTGGCAGAGGTAGTGTGTATTTACAGCTAAATTCTGGTATCTTTTCTTAAAATGCTTTCTAGGGTCAGATGTAGTTAGTGATGCTATAAAAAGTAGTCTTCAGCTTCTGGGAAACACAGTGGTGAAAAATAATGCCACACAGCAGTTTGTATGGAATAAGTGCTTCCCAAACTTCTTCTTGTAAGTATTCATATATATTCATCTGTAACTGTAAGATACAAATGCATGTGTTACAGCAAAATGCCCCACCACAGAATTTCAAGGCCTTGTTTGAACTGATTTATTTTATTATACCCTACAGGAGTGTAATGTCTTCAGCAAATCACAACATACAGGACTGCTTGTGCATGATTATTTACAACTGCCTAAAAGAGCAATACAGGTGACTTTCAAACAAGAGATGTTGTTCTGGGCCCAGTTGTTTGAATACCGATTAGCGCTAACCCAGGGTTAAACTTAAATCAGGGTTTCTATATTTCTCTGTACAAAAGCCACTTTGGGATAATTTACCCAATTCTTTTTAGAGCATTCGATCATCAAAGTATAGAAAAATAGAAATAACCTGAATTTTCTTTTAAAGTGTTCAGATCTGAAATCAAATTTCACACTACTCCTGGGTTGTCTTAACCAACTTTTGAACAACCCAGCCCAGATTACTAAGAAGAGTATTAAAAATGATTTAAACATGAATTGTCCATTCACCATCATAATACTATAATATTCAATCATTGGCAGGTTTCAGCTGGTAAGTGCCCATGATGGACTCAAGATTATCACCCATGT